TGAATTACTGGCTATGAACATAAAGTGCTTTGTGCGGATTTACGGCTGTATCCAATATATCTGCTGTACATTGCTGAAATGATTGGTATATAAAGAGCACTGGAGCGATGATGTCCACTGACCCATATCGATCAATCAAACATCTGAACAGGTGCAATAGGCATAATAATTCATACAACCAATCAGAACTTGTGCAAGACCAAATTATATGCGCTGAAGTTGATATTGAGATCAGTGATGTACAATATCCCAGAACCAACCAGAAATTATCATAAAGCCAACGCCAGGAAAGAACCGGCCCTGAGGCCCATTGCCATCATCATGTACAATGCAGGGCTCATAGCCCTATATAATGCATGAGCAGGCCGAGGGGCAGCCCACACGACAGGCCGTAGGAGAGATGAGGTGAGCGCAGACTGCTGGGGGATCAGGGATCAGGTAAGTCAAAGTTCTTTACATAGCTTACCTAGACATAACAAGCAGTTGACCATTGCAGTGCAGGAGTAGCCCTCTGCATAAGGAGTCCCCCCCCCCCAGGAAATAGGCTTTTAAGCAGTCTGAATTCCTATTCATGGTTGCACTGGGAGATCCCTCTAGTGGCTAATCTACAGCTTTCCACATTTAATACTGTAAACCCCCATTCACACTTGCCACACGTATGAACATGTTTTTGCACATTTGTCACACTCCTGCATAGGGCAGCCCATTAATTTCATTGGGCTGCCTATGTGCGACAAACACGGCAAAGAAGCCCATGAGACTGTTTGAGCTGTGAGCTTCTTTCATTCTCTTGCTTCCCACGTTTGGAGTGCATGCACTTTTCATGCATTTCATAATTGTGTTGAAAATTGTGCGGTTTTGCTTGCGATTAGCAAGTGTGAATGAAGCCTAATACCGATACAGAAGTGCAGCACTGTAAATATGTAAAGCCGTACCAAAAATGTAAACATTGTATTATGTGAATTGGAGCTTACACAGGGCCCAGGACTTTGTCTCCACTCCCATGTGAGAATGTTGGGAGCCTGAGCAATAAATGCCAAAGTACCAGTGCTATCACATGGTACCACATACACCAAAGTTCCATTTTTTTTTGTGCTTCCCAATGGTCAAACTTATTTGTAAGGGAACAAAGGGAAGGTGTGTATGTAATGCACAGGAGGGGGGTATTAAAGTAGAAATTATGACAAACCTTTTTTTGGTTTTAGTTTTGGATAGAGTAAGGGAGGGTTATAATCCCTATCAGCTTTTTTCCTATCTGTGTCCCATTGGGGGAGATTTCCCTTCACTTCCTGTCCGATAGCCACAGCGGGAAGAGATAGGAAATCCCTCCAAAGTGAGGGAAATTCACAGTGATCAAACATTGTAACCAGAACTAGTGTCCCCATTGGAAGATTTCCCATTTATTCCTGTTCTGAGGACTACCCAAAATGTGGGTTTTCTTTCACTTTCAGTGATAACAGTCACCAGGACAAATAAAGAGGGTAAATCTCCATTGTGGGGACACAGGCAGCAATAAAAAGTTGACAGGTGTTCTAATCCCTCTTCACTCTATCTAAACTAAATAAAAGTTTTGGCTTCAGTTGCACTTGAATGTAAACCTGTTACCTTCCCCTGAATGGGCAAAGCACTATTTAGCTTGAAGGGTCATAATAACACTGCTATCAGATGAATTCTTTCTCTCTATATAGGAATATTTGATGTGTGTCTTAACAGTTGCTGTCAGCCTATGCATGCCCTGGCAACATGTGCATGAATAATGTATTTTGGGACTGGGGAGAGCATTGGGAATACAGATGAACGGGATGCTGAATTGCTCTATAATTGTGAAGGTGTTAGAGTGTGCGGTACACATATACTACGGCACCATTAATATTTTATTATCTTTGCAGTAACAATACATATGAATTTCAATGGTTTTCTTTTTACATTCTTCCAATTTGTGCAAAAGAAAGACTATTTGTGAAAAGTCTGTATTAAATGTAAATAAAATGGAATGTTTGGTCTGTGGGTAGTTGGGGTTTCTACTTGTTACCACTATGAATGCTGCCATTTTGTAGCTTTCACCTAAATGCAATGCAGTCTAAGACTACTGTATATAGCCGTATAATACAGTTATATGAAATGACCTTCCAGCAGGGGTGTGTGACTTTCCTAAACTGTGTGCAAGAGGTAGTGTAGGAACAGGGGTCAGGGCCATTCCTATAATGAGGCAGCATCCTTAAGTGCCAGGTGGACCTGCCGTCCCCTTTGTGGTGAGAGTGTCCCAGGATGCTAAGCTCTTTGCAACCTGTGACACTGGCCAGAACATCCAACTCAACATTTCAGCTCTGGCAGTGGCAACCAATGACATCAGTGAGCTGGGTGAGATGCTGGACAGAGCCTGGAGGCAGAGGTAAGCCCGCCAACCTCCATCCAATCCCTCCTGCAACATGCTCCATTAGCACCCGACACCCCCATCCCTGCTGCCTCAGGTGGCTAAAAGTATAGGCATGCCCTGATCAGGCTGGTAGCATTTGTGACGACATCAAAAGTCTGTGATCTAGAGTACTGCTGACATCTTTCTGAACATCTGGTCTGAAAGATCTTCCCACAGTGTATCTCAACCTTTGCAACCAGATTGGTATGTCACCTACTACATACAGTATTTGTTACATGTTCCTATTCACACAACATTACTTTAACACCTTCCGATAACTTCCTGTGTTCTCTGCCTCTGCTGCACCCTTAACAGCCAGCACTGCTTCCAGTTCTCTCTGTTAAGAATAGAACACCTCCCCCTAGGTTATGGAGCAGAGAGGAAAAGGCGTTCTGTAGTCCTAACATATCATTCCTCAGGAAGGTATACTGTCTTTTCTTGTATGATTAAAAACATCTTAGGCTGCATCCATATTTATGTGTTTTAGGCATCAAGGCACATGCCTTTTTCATTGGAATTAATGGAACGTGCTTAAGCAACTTTGCCACAGTGTTTTAGGAAGAACTTCAGGAATCTAAAAAAGTACCCTTACAGTGGGGCTACCCCCGCACTACAAGGGATAAGTGTTCATTTTTTCTAGGGGATCAAACAAAGCAAATATACGCACCTGATCTCCAGTTCTGCCAGGCTACTAGACCAGTCCCCACAGTTTCTTCTTCCTTGAGCTCCGGTGGTCTAAGGACCACTGAAACCATCACGTCTAAGGGCCTGTTCACACCAGACAGTGCGTTCCAGCCCGATTCTGTCCGGAACGCACTGGATCACATTGTGGCTGGCTCACTTTCTTGTGGGGTTGAAGGGGGCGTGGTGGTCCATTGAAGTGAATGGCACCGTAGCCATGCCCTCCAGACGCAATGCGATCGGCTGCACGGGAACACAAGGTACATCAATGCCTGCGGTCCGGTCTGGTCAGAAAGAATGCTGCAAGCACAAATTTTTCTAACCGGACCAGACCGGAACGCAGGCATTGATGTGCCATGCGTTCCCGTGCGGCCAATTGCATTCACTTCAATGGACCACCATGCCCCCTCCCGCCCCACAACAAACTGAGCCGGCCGCAATGCGATCCAGTGCGTTCCGGCCAGAATTGGGCCGGAACGCACTGAGGATGGTGTGAACGGGCCCTAATGCAGGTCCATTGACTTTGGTCCACTTTCGACCACTGAGGTTGCTGAGGGACATTGCACAGACAGAGCAGAAGGGGGGAGAGGTGAGTGCCAACCCCTGCGGGACTGAGGATCTCTGTTTTATTTGAGTCTCCTAGACAAAAGAAGCACTTAACCCTTACAGTGCAGGGGTAGCTCCACTGCAACAATACGTTTTTTTAAATCCCGGAGTTCTTTTTAAAAACATATTTTCCCTTGATTCCAATGGAAAGGGATGTGCATTTAAAAACATAGGTGTGACCCAGTTTTGTAAACAGAGAATTAGAGGATGAACCCTAACATAAGGCTAAAGCCTAAAAGGTCCAGCCCAAAGTTTTATGTTCAGCTTTAGACATGGTACGGAAGTGTTAGAATCTTTTTGCATGTTCTCTGTATCCAGTTGAGATTTTCTTTTGTCAGGTTTTAATTACTGTCTGTACCTGTTCTGCTTCCTGTTCTGTCTGACACCTGGACAGTAAGTGAGGAGAAATCTGACTAGGAGGGGCACGGACACCAATGATGATAAAAATAAATTCGAACCATTAAACTATAATATGTTTTGGATGGAATGGGCTTTAGGAGCAATTTTTGACACTTACAAAGGAAACAGCTTTGAAGCTTAAAGGGGCAGGGGTATTTGGGTGAAAATAATGATATTTGGGAGCTATGATGATCTGTGGAAAGATGGCTAGAAGGATGTAGACAGATTGGATAACACAGACTTCTTTGGATCTCTTTACATTTATCCCATCTAATATATTTTTTTGAAAAACTGCTTGTCAGTCTAACATTGCCACTTTCCATCAGTTATGAACACGACAGAGAGAACTAACCTTGTTCAGGAGAGCTATAGCCTTGTCACGGGTCTTATCCCTGAGCCAGTACCTTTCTATTAGCTTGAGTTTAACTTATCATAGCAGAGTGTTGATCACTGGTCCTCTCCTGCCTGTTCAATAGCTGTGCAGATACCTTTTAGCTATTTGGGTCTCATACTAGAATCAAGGTTCATACAATAAAGTCTATCAAAATGAATACCATTGCTTAAAAGTTTTGTTGTTGTTGTAGGGAACCTCTCCATTATGGATCCTCCATCCCACAGCTCTCAATGATTCCAGGGACAAAGAGCTTCACTTGGAGCTCCATCTGCTGGTGAGATTGGGTATGGTATCTCGACCATAAAATACAACATATCGTTATGGAAATCACTCATTGTATTTAAAAGGTTAGATTCCACCATGTAAAGTAGGTGACAGCATCATAGGGTTCCTCAGGGAGGTAGTAGATGGGAGCCCCTTCTTGTAACTAGACAGGACTTAAGTTAAGCAGAGGAAATTGCTTTTAACAGACCTATGCATATAAATAGTTATACATCATCCTGATCTATGAGGCACACCCGCTTCTTCATGCTCATAAAATGGCATGTCTACTCTTTATTTAATTGAGAAAGATTCGGACACAGTTCACATTGATATGTGTGGAATGCTATAAGTAGCAGTAGCCACAGAATTGACCTAAGGATGAACAGTAGAGCTATTTGTTGCTGCATCATAAGCCATAACACTTATTTATATTGTATTGCTAAGCTGTAACAGTCATCCTGAGCTTATCAAGAAGAATTTGTCCATATGTTTAATGTCTATAGTCCCAGAGCTATACATTAAAAGAAGGAACCTTCTCCAGCAGGATGGACTTGGACTGAGGGCTGGTGATCCATAAGTCCTCCTCTTCATTCTTCTTCCTTTTCTTCTTGACTGGCGAAGGTTTGAGTGTGTTACTTTTTCTGGTCCGACAACAGCAATAGTGACAGCAGATAATACTAGAAATGAACAGAACAAGCAATGGCAAGGCAAGCAGCACTCCCAGGCAGATGCTGTTGTAGATTCCATGTTCATGTTTAGTTTGTATCTCTTTATAGATGCTCTGGAAGAAAGCATTTATATGTTCCATAATGGAAGTTGCAGGTTCCTGGATGTCTGGTGTAATTGTACTGATCGAAGAGTTCAAACTTTGGAAATCCATGGCAACGTGGTCATGTGTATGCAGTCATATCTAATAATCCAACTGCTTTGCGAAAATGTTTGACTTCATCCTATGGGGTTAAAAAAATGTTATTTTTAGTGACCATGAACAACAAACATTCATGAAAAAATCCCCAGAACTAAAGACTAAACAATTCAGAGGCCTCTGTCTTAGATAAGAAGGATGTTTTAAAACAAAACAAGTGTCACAGGGCCATTTGTATGGGATATCCATCTGTCATTGATTTGGAACCCAAAAACATACAGTTCCCACTAAACTCCAAGGTTTACTTGGAAGCCCAAAAATAAACATTTTCAATAAACAATAATGTCTTATGTAGCAATAATTCCGGGATCCCTTCTGGGTTGAGAAACTGCAAGTTGTACTTCACAATAATATGGGGGCAATCATATGGGGGTAAAACCACCAATTATACTAACAATGCTATTCACAAAAGGGTGAAGAGTTTGGAGTAGGCAGAAGAAGTGAACAATCTAGGACAACATAGCTGAACTGGAAAGTGAGCTGAATTGGAGAACTTTTCCAAATCAGCTACTTTGGCCTAGATTGTTCACTTCTCCTGCCTCCTCCAAACTCTTCACCCTTTTGTGAATAACCCTGTAAGACTAAGCTTGGGCCTCTATTGAGGGTCTGAGGCCTTCTAAACACCTCTTCTGTACTTCTGGAAACCTCATGTGCATAATTTATCAGAAGCCACGGCATGCATAGGAACAAGTATGGACTGCTCTACATTCACTCTCCTTCTCTACAGTTGGCAGTAGAATACACATGTCTGTTACTGAACACACAGGTCCTAAAGTCAAAATCAAAGGGTCAAAGGGTTAACTCAGTGACCAATAACATTTACTAATACCCATGCCTTAGAATTTCGAGAATATGTAATTTCCGCCAGCTATAATCATGATACTAACAACTCTGCTAGTCAGGACAATCACAATGTTTGCTTCCTGGTTAGTCAATGCCGATTACTTGGTCAGCCTTATTGCTATCTGGGTCAGCTCCCTAATCATTTAATAGAAGTGATAATACTGATTTGTTGCCCAATGACCAGTATGAAGGTAGAGACGTGACACTAAAAGTTTCATTAGTGAACCAAGAGATGTATGTCACCTCCCTGGCTGTGTAGTGTGGCTGAGGTGCCAACATTACAAGACTAGCTGCGCAAAATTGCAGATCAATGCAGGCAGAACAGTAAACATACTTTACAGGTGTTTCGATTGTGTATTACCCCTCTCAGCCAGAGCTCTGTATTGCTGCCTCATATGCAGTAATAGGAAGATAATGTGACATGTACTATGCATATACATACATTCGGAAGAAAATAGGCTCACAGAGGCCATTGTATAGATGGAAACTTGCAATAATTAGAACGCAGGCATGCTTTCATAACTTTGGCTCTAATCCCAGCCACTGGTCCGTGAACTGCTAGCTGTTAAAACAGTTGCTACGTTACAATGTTTGCCAAGTTGGACATGAATCAAAAGAATTTATAAATACAAAGTATAAGTTTTGTGAGTTACTTTTAATAATTACATTGTTTTTCATCAACACTCCCAATATAATAATTTCCAAACTAGACTTAAAGTGCAAGCTACCGCACAAATTAGGAATCCAAATACGTGTTGGCTATTCATACTCTGCTTAGTAAATATAGCCTGTGACCTTTTTATGTGTGTTGCTGCTAAATACCTGCTGATCCTGCCAGTTCCCCTTTGTTTCTTTTGCATACTGGCATACTCACCCGATCCTCAGGGCTGCCTGTCTCCATCTCCACTGCAGCGATGGTATGTCCCTCCTCACGTAAGGAACATGATGACTTACAGGACCGCAGACCGCTGCGGAGAAGGGGGAGAGAGGTGGAAGGGACCGGACTAAAAACCAGTCGACTTGAGGCTAACTTTTTTTTATTTTTGAGCTTAGACAAAAACAAGCACTTAACCCTTGCTGTGTATGTGTGTGTGTATTCTGCTTAATAAAAATCTTACAGGGATTGGCGTAATAGCATTCTATTTGCTGTTGACCAATGTGGTTTTATTGTGCTGTGTTCACAAATGCTTTTACAAAGTGATATATACACTAACATAATGAGTGTGATACCATCTACAGGTAAGTTTTAAAACTCTGCATCATGAAGAATCTCCCCTTTCACTTCAAGGGCGATTCTGAAAGTTCCCTGGGTTTAAAAATTCTGTGTACTGTTGTTTATGGTATATTAGGATAAAACATTGCTACTTAGTGTGTAGCTTCATATTTTTCTGCATTGCTGTATAATGAATTGCTGGGATTTGTAGTCCTCTATAGCTGGTGGTATTCTGCATTGTTATATAATGTATCACTGGGATTTGTAGTCCCTCTACAGCTTGAAATCAGGGGCAGAACTACCAGGGTCTCAGCCCTGGTGCTCCACCACTATCCTAAAATCATTAGTCTGTATTGTTGTAGGAGAACTGTCACATGACACTAAAAAGAAGTTATTGGCAATTGGTATCGGCGAGTACCGGTGAGGAAAAGTATCTGTACGCGGTCTTGAAAAAATGGTATTAGTGCATCCTTACTGATAACCTTAAACTAGGGATGCAACGATACTTTTCGAGTACCAATGCCGATACTTGGAATTTTCATGAGCACTACCGGGGTTGCAGACGTTGCAGAGGTTGCAGCTGGGACCTGGATCTGGCGCTCCACAACTGTCCTGAAATCATTAGTCTGTATTGTTTTAGAAAAACTGTCACATGACAATAAACAAAAATGTATCAGTACTTGTATCCTTGAGTACTTGGGCAAGTATCAGTACTTGTACTCGCAAAACTGGTATCGGTGCATCACTTTATTTATATTATAAAAAGAAAATCATACATTAAACCAGAGATGTACAAATCCCAGGAGCTCCGTGTGCTCCTTACAAATGACAGCTGCCTCCTAACTTGTGAATTTTTCTCTAGTCCAGTCTTGGAGCTGGAAAAGTATCTGTACTTGTACTTGTACCGAGTACGGTACTTGGTATCGGTGCATCCCTACCTTAAACGTATCCAAAAATTTACCCACCTCAAACTAACCACTCAACCATCACGTTCTCAAACAATTCATCCCCACCCAGCCACCTCCTCATGTATCATTTGCCCTTCACTTTTACATTGTAAGCCCTCAGGGGCAGGGCCCTCCTTACCATCTACCTGTTTAGAACTCCCCTGACTAGGGGCTGCGTACATGACACATCCTGTTTGTGTTAAGATTGGCAACTACCCACTTTTCTCAGTTCTTGTTTCTTGAGTAAAATTAGCTAAGTATATTGACAAAATTAGATTTAAAGAAGATCTCCGGGAATTGAAAAACACTTACCCTTGCAGAAGGGCTATACCTGCACTGCAATGGTTAAGTGCTCCTATTGTCTAGGAGGCTCAAATAAAGCAGATATACTCACCTGATCCTTGGTCCCCTCTCGGCTGCTAGACCCGTCCCCGCAGCCTCTTCTCCCCCAGCCTCCAGTGGTCTAAGGACCACTGACATCACCACATCTAATACAGGTCAATTGACTTGCATTAGGCGTGAGGATGCTGGAGGGGGGGGGGACAGGTGAGCGCTGACTGCCACAGGACCGATCACCAGTTGAGTATATTATTTGAGCCCCCTGGACAACAGCAGCACTTAACCCTTGCAGTGCAGGAGTAGCCCCACTGCAAGGGTACGTTTTTTCACTGAAAAATCATAAAATGCATTTGTACATAGAGGTAATATCAGTTCCTGAATCTCTCTTGATATCAGCCGGTTGTAATCACCTGTATGCAGCACTGGGAGCGGGAGCACAAGCAGCCAGTTAGGCTTTCTTGCGGTGCACATGTAGTGACGGAACATGCTGACAGACGGAGAGAGCAAGGTGAGCAGAGGGATAAGCTCATCAGTGTACTGCTACTCCTTTGCTGTCCAGTCAGGACAGAGGGGCTTTGAATTGAATGCTTTCTGAGTCCATTTCCACAGCACAATAATAAACTCTGACACTTTCCTGACATACTGTAAAACAAAAGCATTAAAACCAGAGACAGCCAGGCAACTAGCACTTTCAGGAGGAGGGCAAACGTGGAAGCCTCTGCACCACTGTAATGACAGGTCTACTTTAAATAGTATACTATAGTCACATATGAACATTATTACATACAGTCACATATCAACATTCTAAATTTAAACTAAACCAACATACTAAAATCTATGAGGTATAAAGATAAAAAATTTACAGCACCCTTAGCCGTGTGAATACCTGTGAATGTTCGTTTTGGGCGAATAATGGTTTCTAAATAAGTTTTTTCTAGGCTCCTCGCCTCCACCTATAGGCCATAATGTAAAATTACAATAAACTACATTCAAACGGGGAAAAAAGAACGTTCGTTTTTTGGAATATTCTCCCCAAATGAACGTTCACAGATATTCACACCACAGAGGGCCCTGTGAATTGTTTATATTATTTTATTGTGCTGTTGCTCGGAGTTGATAAAACAGCGATACCTTCAGGGGATAGCCATTCCCAGGGACAAATCAAGAGAAACAGGGATGAGAACAGCTAACAGCCATGATATACGAGATCTTTAGTTGTTTACCTGACATTTCTCTGCAGCTCTGCTGAAGTAACAGCATTGTTACAGCTCTGACATCCCATGACAGCTAAAGGTTTCTGGTGCGAGTCAGAACTAAGACACAAGTCACCCTAGTTGAGTAATAGAACATGCCCGGCCCATTGTTGGAATCCACAGAGGGGGTTTCTTGCTCGACAAGCTGTCTTTCTGTAGCCGCACTGCCAGCAATGTGCTGTTTATATTCTGCTAAAGTACAATGACATGTTTATTTAGACGAAAGCTTCTGTTGTTAAAGCGTAAAATTGTATGCAATTAATAAAAACGCTCGGCATTCTGGCTTGATGGTAATCATTTGGGAAGTGCTGATGAGCTCTTACAAGGAGACAATGGCTTTCTGTGAAAAACTATATTAATGCAGTTATGCATTTATTATAAAGTCATCAAATGTGTTCTAAAAAAAAGCCCAACACAGGGTTCGGCCATC